CTTGGCAGGCCGCGGGTTTGAGAGGCGTCCAGGCGTGACGAATGCAACCAGCGTGGCCCCAAATGAGTCGGCGGCCGCCACAGGTTGATGTAGAGCCGCGGCGCTCCCCGGGACCGTCACCCGCAGGACTTTCCCTTCTTTATTTGTTGGGGGCGGTGGAGGCTGGAACCCAGACGCTCAAGTGTGGGGCGCGTCCTCGTGGCGTCCCTGGCGAAAACCCGGATGCCAGGAGGGGCAGTGAGGTCAGAAAGGCACCGCGGGGCCAGCATTAGGGCTGTGCTAGCTCTGTGGCATCGGGTGAGACGTTCAGTCTCTCTGGGCCTCGCCATTCTCTCTTTCTTTTTCTTTTCTTTTTTGTTTTGTTTTTGAGACGGAGGCTCTCTCTGTTGCCCAGGCTGGAGTGCAGTGGTGCGATCTCAGCTCACTGCAACCTTTGCCTCCTGGGTTCAAGCGATTCTCCTGCCTCAGCCTCTCCAGTAGGTGGGACTAGAGGTGCCCACTATCACCTCCGGCTAATTTTTGTATTTTTAGTAGAAATGGGGTTTCACCATGTTGGCCAGGCTGGTCTCGAACTCCTGACCTCAGGTGATCCGCCAGCCTTGCCCTCCCAAAGTGCTGGGATTACAGGCGTGGGCCACCGCGCCCAGCCTAGGGCCTCGCCATTGTCATCTGTAAGATGAGAGGACCCCCTTCGGTCTTGGGAATGTGGGAGCTCAAAGCACGTGGTCCCAGGACACTCCCCTATACAGCCCCTGATGCATCCCAGCGCCCATCAGGCCTTAGGACACGGCGGATTGCCAGACTTGGTAATGCCACTGAGTGATCCCAGTTACAAATCGCCACCTCACCAGCGTCCCCTCTCCCTTTGAAGTTGGCCTTTAAACAGGCCTCTACTCCCACACCCGCCTTCCTATCCGACTCAGTTCCTTCTTCACCAGTTTATGCCATGATCCGTTGGTCCTAGCAGCTTCCTAAAAGCCCTGGGGAAGCCCAATTCCATTACAAACCTGTTTCCCCAAACCTCCCACTGGTTCACTTCCAAGACCTCACCTTAAGGGACACCCAGCTTCCTTCCCTGGACACTTACTTCCCTCCCACACTTCCCTCAAAAATACTAAGCCCTTGTTTTTATTTTCCAGCTATTGTCCTATCGCTACAAAAGTAACCTCTTATTTATTTAGAGACGGAGTTTCACTCTTGTTGCCCATGCTGGAGTGCAATGGCCCGATAGCAATCTCGGCTGGCCGCAACCTCTGCCCCCTGGGTTTAAGCGATTCTCCTGCCTCAGCCTCCCTAGTAGCAGGGACTACAGGCGCCCACCACCACGCCTGGCTAATTTTTTGTATTTTTAGTAGAGACGGGGTTCCACCATGTAAGCTAGGATGGTCTCGAGCTCCTGACCTCGTGATCCACCTGCCTCGGCCTCCCAAAGTGTTGGGATTACAGGTGTCAGCCACCGTGCCCAGCCTTTTTTTTTTTTTTTTTTTTTTTAAATACAGGTTTTCACCCTGTTGCCCAGGCTGGTCTGGGACTCCTGAGCTCAGGTGATACACCTGCCTCGGTCTCCCACAGTGCTGGAATTGCAGGTGGGAGCCACCACGCCCGGTCTCAGTTCTTTTCAAGTCAAGCCATTTTACCATCTTCTGGATTTTCCTCATCCTCATTCTCCTTCCCAGTCTCCGGGAAAGACAAGCACATTTTCTTGATGACTTCAGCACTTCTAACCCCTTGTTGGCTCTCCTTAGAGGACATTAACTCTGTGTGTTTGAACCTTTCAACTTCGAGGATCTCCTCAGCCCTTCCTTATTTGTTCACCCTTCTGGATCATGAAATCTCCAAATTTGTCTTTTGAACCCAGTGCCCATATCCACCCTCACCTGAACCCATTCTTTAATAAAATGGATTCGCACCATGACTGTTCTCAAAGTTTGAAACCGAGAATACTGATGCGCCACTCCTGCTTCAATGCTTGAGAAGTCGTGGGCTTTCTTCCAAGTGCCTTTTGACTGGGCGCCTATCTCCCGACAGCCTGAGGTGGTGTAGTGCTTGAATCCTAAAACCCTCACTTACTAGCGTGGGACCTGTGCCAGTTACTTGACCTCTTTTTCATCTCTTCACTAGTTTGTAAAACGGAGACAATTATAGCACATCTTTTTTCATTATTATTATTATTGACACGAAGTCTCGCTCTGTCACCCACGCTAGAGTGCAGTGGCGAGATCTTGGCTCACTACAACTTCTGCCTCCTGGGTTCAAGCGATTCTCGTGCCTCAGTCTTCCGAGTAGCTGGGATTACAGGCATGCACCACCATGCCCGGCTAATTTTTGTATTTTTAGTGGAGATGGGGTTTCACCATGCTGGCCAGCCTGGTCTTGAACTCCTGACCTCAGGTGATCCACCTACCTTGGCCTCCCAAAGTGCCGGGGTTACAGGTGTGAGCCATCGTGCCCCACCTACAGCACATCTTAGCAGAATTTTAGGGATAAAATGAGTCCCTTTGGATATTGTGCCTGTTTTTGACTGAACGGCTGGCTGTCTTCTAACATCCTGAGTGGCTGCTTTAGCTTAGTTGTCACCTCTTCTATAGCCTCATCCCGCCTCATGACAAGACTTCTCTTCTGCCTGTTCATTGCCTTGTGTGTACATAATAATACTGCAGTCGTCCTTGTCACAGTGATTGTAACCTATTTCTTACATGTCACCCTTACTCAACTGCGAGATGCTGGAGGGTAAAGACTCTCATACGAGGTGTCTGAAGCATAAAAGGTATTCACTAGATTTTCATTCAGTGTTTTTTTTTTTAGATGGAGTCTCACTCTGTCACCCAGGCTGGAGAGCAGTGGCGTATCTCAGCTCACTGCAAGCTCCGCCTCCTGGGTTCATGCCATTTTGCTGCCTCAGCCTCCCGAGTATCTGGGACTACAGGCATCCGCCACAACGCCTGGCTAATTTTTTTGTGTGTGTTTTTAGTAGAGGCGGGGTTTCACCATGTTAGCCAGGATGATCTCGATCTCCTGACAGTTTTTTGGTATTCATTAAAAAGAACTTCATTTTGCATTTAAACTGTTTAAATTTCTGAATCAAGAACTTTGTACTTGCTCAAAAATTTTAGGATAGCATATTTCTGCATAGTCTAATATTTATTTTTTTTAAAAAACTGACCAGGCATAGTGGCTCATGCCTATGATCCCAGCACTTCGGGAGGCTAAGACAGGAGGATCACTTGAGCCTAGGAGTTCCAGACCAGCCTGGTCAACATAGGGAGACCCCATCTCTAAAAAAAAAAAACCCCAAAAAAAACCTGGTGTAGTGACACATGCCTGTAGTCTCAGCTACTTGGGATGCTGAGGTGAGAGGATGGATTGAGCCTGGGAGGTCAAAGCTGCAGTGAGCCGTGATTCACAGCACTTCAGCCTGGGCAACAGAGTGAGACCCTGTTCAAAAAAATAAATAAACACCTTAGCGCTTGGGGGAGTTAGGTTTTGTTGTGTATTTTTTCATTAGAAGAGAAAGACACTCTCCCTTACTAAGATATTTTTGCCTGTTAACTAATATGCAGTTGCAGAATGCACCATAGACTGGCTACATTTCGAAGAGCACTACAAGTTCTGATATTTAGAAATGAGTGAATATGCCAGTGGTCCAAAGTTGGAAAAGAAAGTTGGTAACAACATTAGAAGGTGGCAGAAAGCAGGAAAGAAATGTAACATATATGACAGATGAAGGGTTTTAAAATAACTTTTATGTATCAACACGGAAAAGATAAACACCATGACATAAAAATGAGCAAAAAATATGAACCATATAATCCGAATAGTCCATTAACATTCATGTGTTCAATAAAGTTGAATGAACTCAAATGAAAACCACCCTAATAATTTTATCTTACCTGCTAATTTGGCCAAACTGTTTATTTTGATATAATTTCAAGCTAACAGAAAAGTGGCAAAAATAGTATAAAGAATCCCTACCTTCAGGGCCGGGCGCGGTGGCTCACGCCTATAATCCCAGCACTATGGGAGGCCGAGGCGGGCGGATCATGAGGTCAGGAGATCCAGACCATCTTCGCTAACACAGCGAAACCCCATCTCTACTAAAAATATAAAAAATTAGCCGGGCGTGGTGGCGGGCGCCTGTAGTCCCAGCTACTTGGGAGGCTGAGGCAGGAGAATGGCGGGAACCCGGGAGGCGGAGCTTGCAGTGAGCCGAGATCTCGCCACCGCCTGGGCAACAGAGTGAGACTCCATCTCAAAAAAAAAAAAAAAGAATCCCTACCTTCTTTTCACTCACATTCCGCAGTACTTAACATTTTACCTCATTTCTTTATCATTCTCATTCTTTCTGTGTCTTTATCTCTGTCTCTCTCTATATGCAAATGTACATTGTTTCCCTGAACTATTTGACAGTAAATTGCAGGCCAGCCCCGGTGGCTCACGCCTGTAATCCCAGCACTCTGGGAGGCTGTGGTGGGTTGATCACTTGAGGTCAGG